GACCGCGAGAGAAAAACATCAGGTACATGTATTTTTCCAACATAACATAAAACACCTAAAGGGTAGCGATAGAGAATTACCACAAGTACTTATGATGCAAGAGCTCCTGGAAAAAGGTGTGGGTATACACCACAGTGGGATATTACCAATTTTGAGAGAGATCGTAGAAATGTTATTTCAAAGTGGAGTTGTCAAGGTAATTTTCCAAAGAAACATTAAAAAATAAAAGGATAAAGTTAAAGCGCTTTTTTTTTTAAAAAGCTTTATAACTTTCTAATTTTGAAATATATAAAAATTAAAAAGTTGTAATGGAATTGCATTTTATTGCATTTTTAGTTACTATTCGCGACAGAAACTTTTGCCATGGGAGTTAACATGCCGGCGCGCACAGTAGTGTTTGATTCCATACGAAAATATGACGGAAACAACTTTCGTACTCTATTTCCAACTGAATATATACAAATGGCTGGCCGTGCCGGACGACGAGGTCACGACACTACGGGTACTGTTATAGTGATGTGCAGACACGACGTGCCGCACTTCAACGACTTGAAACCTATGATGTGCGGTGAACCACAGACATTGGAGTCGAAATTTAAAGTCACGTACTCCATGCTTCTTAATTTGAGAAGAGTGAACGAATCCGTTACCGTTGAAGCGATGATGCGCAAATCTTTCAAGGAATCGCCGTTGGCCTCGCAAGAAGCGTCCTATAACAACGAATTACGGAAAATCGAACGCGAATTATTGAATTTGCCGCCTTTGACCGAAATCCAAAAAAAACTCTCTACATTCTATCACCAAGCGGTCGATTATTTGGAAGATGTTAAATTTCTGAATCCTTATTTGCTCACCTCAAAGAAGGCAGCGAAAAGTTTAATCGAGGGCAGAGTTTTGTTAATATCGTACGCGGATCATTGCAATAAACTAGCTCTGTTATTGCAAGTTTTATATCACAAAAGCTCTACTCAGTACAAAGTCTTGATACTTAAGGACGCGAATGTATCCACTTCCGAAACAACTGATTTTAAAAGTTCTCAGATATTCGAAAAGTGGTGCGAGATTATTAGCCTAACGAAAAAGGAGATATTTGTACCAAGCGTTAATCCGTCACATGAAGTTTTGACTCTGTTTCCATGGCATATATTAAAGATAACTAATTGCCAGATAAAAATTGACTGCTCTTTGGTATTGAATGATTGGGAAAAGAGGCAAATCTCACGATTCAAGTAAGAAATAATATAACGACATAGTAAAAATTCTTGATTTGATTTAATTATCAATCATTTTTTCTTTTCAGAAACGACCCACCGGGACAAACGTGTCAGACAGCGGTTCAAGAATTGACTTCTTTATCATTTAATGCTTCTACTAACGCTCGCATTCTACAACCATATATCGAGCCCTCATCGAAAAATGATTTTCAATTAAGAATACAACATAGAAACAAATTAAAAGCTAGTCTGAACGACATGAAATGTATGGAAATACCAAACTTTGAAGAACAATTTAGACCTGTATTTGAACGAAATCATCTTGAAGATAAAAAGCGACAGCTTCAACTTAAACTCAGCGATGAAGGAATGGCATTGTATCCAGATTATCTGAATATGGTAGCACTCCTCAAACACTTTAGGTACATAGATAATGATGAAAGAGGTTTGTATTAATTAAAGTATATAATAATTTTTTGTAGAGATAAATGTAGAGATAAAAGATTAATATTTATCAAAATGTATTTAACAATATATTGTTTATTATTATAGTCGCCCTCAAAGGGAGAGTCGCGCTGCAAATGGGTAGTAACGAATTGCTGATAACAGAATTGATTCTAAAAAATGTGTTAACTGTTCTACAACCGGCAGAAATAGCAGCGTTACTATCAGCACTGATCTTCCAGCAACGCACGGATGTTGAGCCTCAACTGACACCAACTCTTGCTAACGTATGTGTCATTGCTCCATCTCCCTTTGAATATGTTAAGTATTTAAAAAATTATGTTACAGTATGAAGCAATCCTCGTTTTTTTTCAGGCTTGCAAAATAATGAACGAGGTGCACGCGGAATTGGAACATCTAGAGCAATACTATCAACTATCGACATTACTACCACTGAATTTCGGCTTAGTGGAAGTTGTCTACGAATGGGCACAGGCCAAATCATTCGCAGAGATCATGAAGATGACTGATGTCCAAGAAGGAATTATAGTCCGTTGCATACAACAATTAGGGGAAACATTACGAGATGTTAAAAATGCGGCTGTAACCATAGGTGACCCGATTTTAAAAGAGAAGATGGAGGAAGCGTCAACCGCGATCAAACGTGACATAGTGTTTGCTGCGTCCTTATACACCCAAGACTGAATGAGTAATTTAATTTTATATTAACGATAAAATCGATATATTTTTTATAAAAAGATCAACCAAATATTGTTGCAAGTACATTCTGTTTGTAAAAAAATATTCTATCATCTATAAGGACGTATGATGAACAACGTTTGCAAACTTTTTCCGGTTATCGTAATAAAGATAAATCAGATAAACGTCATTGTTATATTTCGAATAAATGCTTATGAATAATCAAATATTAACGGTAAATAATTCGTACTAACTTTGCAATTTGCTAAAAGATACTTGATATCAAACAAATCGTATTATTTTACAACGCTTATTTTGTTACAACGTATTATTTTGCACTCTTATTATATATTATTTTACATGTTGAAGCGATATTACGCGCGTTGATCTGGATTATTAAGATTTCCTTGATCTTGATTCAACTCTGAAATGCATGCCCATTGTCCTTCCGAATTTTCGCGCCAGAGCGAAACTTTGTTATCTCCACCGCAGACTGCTAAGATACCTCCTGTCAACGACCAGCCGATATTCCAGATAACATCATCGAAGACATTAAGAACTTTTGGTGTCCAGCTAGTATAATCATTGGAAGTCCATATGACGATGCGACGATCTTGTGAGCAAGACGCCAAAGTGGCTCGAGATGGGCCGACTGCTGGTGCCCAGGCTACATCGCGAACCTATAAGTATGATATATAAATATGCAAATCTTATGACGCTTAAATATTTTCATTATAATTAAACTGTACCCAATCGCTATGTGCTTCCAATTTATTTTCTTCTATCCATCTGTCACCATCTTCCTTCCATATTTTCACCAAGTTGTCACAACCACCAGTGGCTAACCGCTTAACAGGATCATTTCTCTGTTGAGTATTGGAATCAGTACCTGAGTCGACCGCTGGACTCCAACAAACAGCGTTGCAACCAATCGTATGAGCGTTCGTTATTTTCTGCATCTGCCATGTATCTCCAGTGTTTGCGAGGATAGAAACTGATCCATCTGAACTACCACAGGCCAGAATTAGACCGAATTCATGCGGCGCCCACGCGACCGAGTTTACAGAGGAATCGTGACCAGTGTGCTCGTATATCTTTGTCCACTCTCCCAATTCCTTCCAAATAATTACCTTCCTACAAAAATATATAAACGTTGACTGTGTCAAATATTATCACAGAGATACTCCAGGTGTTATTAGATATATTTAAGTACAAAGTAATATTGAAAAATGTATGTAACAACCAGTATTGTAGAGCTGTGTACCTGTCATAGCTACAAGATGCCAAGAGGTTGCCAAATTTTGGGTGAGCCCACGCAACCTGCCACACGGGACCGATGTGTCCCTTGAGAACGGCAACCAGGCTCTGAGAGCCGTTCTTCAAGTCAAATATCTTCACCGTGTTGTCGCTCGAGCAAGTGGCTAACCTCAAACCGTAATAATCCATTTCCGCATCGTGAATCATGTCCTCGTGACCGGTATCGACGGTATTTAAAACGGACACCATTTTGAAAATTAATGATAGCAAACAAAACTTTAATAGCGAAACTTATGCGAAGAGACTGATCGGAAAATAAAGGCGGTCGCGGGCACGGTACAGGTTATGTGTAATTATTTAATGCCGTACGCCGTGCTGTCACTTTAGTAGTCACTTACGTGGAAGCATATTTACGATTCGATACTCGAACTCGAGAACGATACTTGATAATCGACTTCCGCGCGCAAATAATTTGTATTCTTTTGGTGCGTACCAAACTAATACATAATTAATCAGAGAGAAACCAGAGAGAGGATATGAAGACCTTTTTCCTGAATGTTTGAATATTCAAACTATTAATTTAGCGAATTTTTTAATATGCGCCTGCATAAAAATGGAATTACGAAATTATGTTTTTTTAATGCAAATTTTCAGTTCGTTTTTACCAAACATAAAACTAGTATATAAGTATATTTCAAAGTTTCTATAATTACTAACAATACTTGAAACTTTTCCAATCATATATTATTAATTTAAGGTATAATTTAACAAAAACGAGTTAGAGGCCCTCCACCATCCCTACCGATTTCTATCGGCGATTCTCTTTTCTTTGTAAGATATATTTGACTTCTAAAAAAAAGTTCGAATAAAAACATGTTAAATAAGCCTAATTTCATTAATATAAAACGTGAGAAAACTCAATTATTGAATTTACCCTTTCAATTATACTTCAAAATTTATCATATAAAATAAAATAATTTCGAAACTTTATATTAGTTAACTGCGTAATATAAAAATAATCAATGTGTAAATATAATGTGTTATTTTTTCATTCTAACTTTCTGTTTATATTTATTTAAATTAATTTGTCATATTGTACTGAAATATATTTTCTAACAATTCAGTTTCATAAATTTTAAAAAACTTTGCAAAAAGAATATTTATTATTATTTAAAAATACATAATATACTATGTAAATTTATATAAAGGAAGCAAATTGTTACATATTTCCGAATAAATACTGCAACGCGATCTGTCAAAAACTATACTCTCTATTACATTACAATACAACATATTATACATATTTTTTAAATATAAAGTTTTAATTTATTTATCTGACATTAATAAAAATATTAGTAGGTGACACTTGTGACAATCTATCTCATAATGGGGCAGGTTGTATTACAAGTGTTATTCGCCTTGTCATATTTTTTTAATGTGAGATAAAAGACTTTAAAAAACCTATATAAAAAAAGAAAAAATGTATGCGTCACAAATGTACGTTTGAAAAATTTTGCCGTGTTAATTGGCTGTAGTATAGAGAGATTCGAGACATTCTTCGTTCCGCAGCCCATCAACAAGCTTGAAAAACTTGGAGTATATATCTGGTAAATGTGAAAAAAAACGGATAAATATAAGAAAACGGGTAAATATAATTTAGTATAAGTACAATACTGATATAACAGTGTTAAAAAATGAAAGGTTCGATTTTCTTTTGCGCACGCATTGGCTGTACAGCATAGAATATAGTAGCCTTCATGGTTGAGAGTATAAGAAATTATATAAAATTTTTTCAATATTCAACATAATATAAACTTACTTATGTACATAAACATATGATACATATTATAAACGTACATATATAAATCAATTTTAATTTTCATGTAAATACTTCTAAAATGGCTAAAAAAGTATCTCAAAAAATGTATAAAACTTTTCTAGAGTGTCACTATATGCATTAAAAGTATAATATGTTATTAACAGTTTGATGACAGAATATATCAAACATATTCGAATAAATGAGTCGTACATATTCATCCACATTAAATTTGTATTCCACTGAAAAGAAAACCGATTAACATTACATCAACTAATGTAGAATGTGTACATTAAAAGAAACGGTTTAAATAACATTTTGTATTTATCATGTAAATATTTATTATGTATGTCGTTGTCGATGATATTAATCTGTTGTGACTTCTCGAAAGAGAAAGATCCATCGGAAACGTTTTACTACAATCTATATTTCGTTTCGTTATAATTGTTATGAACGTAGCAATTAGCAGTCAGAATTATATCTTAATAGTACAATTTTATTACACAGGGTGAGTTTCTAAAAAGATAATATTTTATTTGTAGTATGCACAATCGATTATTTTTTAAATAATAGAGTTGTGAAAACATTATTTGACTTTTAACTAAACGTTACGTGTTTAAGAATATGTACGTAAAAACCGAATTAAATAATAGCTTCAAATTATGTTCTTCAAACGTTTTCAACAAAAGTTTTATTTCTTTAAAGCGGTAAAATATGATCACTTTAATGTTGTTTTGTTAGGTACTTCATGAATATAATGTGCTATAACTTTTGCTGTCTGTAAAATATTCATATATGTTTTATGACTTAAAATAAACTTGCCTTAAAAAAATGTTATAGTACAAAGTAAAATTTTTTGTAATTATTTGTAAGACATTCATATGACTTTAAAGTATCAATAAAAAAGCAATGCACATATTCAATAAAAAATGTTTGTTAAAATAAGAAATAAAAACGTTTTCGAATTTATCGTTGGTGTAACGATATCTATAACATAAACACAACAGTGCTAGAAATATTACTAAAATTAAGAATGTTTAGTGTTGCATTAATATAATCATAATTACAATAATATAACGATTTCAATAA